TTTGACAGATATGAACACATGATCGCACTACAGCCAAATAGGTTCATCTTCAAAGATATTCCACCACACCATAACTGCTTCTAGCTAAAAAAATCCTACTGTACGTACACTCCACACAGCCGCCATTTTGTTTGTTTCACTTATTAATCCTACTATCCTACTTCTTATCCTACTAATCTATATAAATAAAATTAGAGTTTTGTCTGTACTTTGCTCAGAATTATATACTTTTAGGTTATTTTTACGTTTTATACATTAAAGAAGCAGAAACGAGTCTTTATCTCTATTTCTGTCTGTCTGTCTGTCTGTCTGTCTTTCCCTTTGTCTGTAACACTCAAGATGGCATTTTACGCAATCTTCTCCGTGAAAACCAGAGTACCTATCCAAGTCATCCAAATCCAAGTCCATTTTATTATTTTGTTATTTATTGATCCAAGTCATTTTAATGTATTCACTGGATTGGCGAGAGTGTCTTTAGTGATTTAAATATAGCCTCACTACTTTGTAAATAAAATTACGGACGTTAAAAAATGCAGTTTTGTGCGATTTTTGTGAAATTTTCGTTCAATTTTTATCACATAATCGTCTATGAGATAACGAACAGCTGTTCGGATCAAGATTATTTTTTCTAGCTGTCAATGATATGTTTACAAATGTTGTTTACAAATACCGCAACCACTTCGAATCACGTTTTGAAAGCAAATCCCAACCAAGTGAGATTAAAAACGTTTTTCTTACATAACGGATTTAATTAATCGCAAGTGCAATAATATAGTCTAATAGTGTAACCGTAAATGAAATTAAATAACTAGACATCGTCCAAATCGGAACCAGAAATTCTTTGAGTATAAAATGTTTCTTGAGTTTTGACAACCAGAAAGACGACCTTGAATCAGTGTTGTATAGGGCTGGACACTGAAATGATCGTTGCCAATAGCTTATACAAAAAAGGTTTCCACTCATTGACGGCGCTTCAATGGCGGTTGTGTAAAGTGTAAAGTAAAAAATCACAACTGCAGTGGGTGATTGTAACAGAGGTTTAACAGAGGAAGTGCTAAACTCGCTTTTCCAATGTGTCACTTTCTGTTTCTACTCACCGTGTGATGCAATCGCTGGACCATACAGCCAATAGGACCATAGCTCATATCTTGGGTACGTAAGCCTACATATTTATTCATAACAACCTTTTTGACTACGATCCTTGATACCGGTACTTTTCCATAGAATACATGGCCTACCTACTTAAGAAATATAATTACAAATGACCAAAACCCCAACATTGTGTGATTTTCGTCACATTTCCTTCTAATGTTAATAGATATACTATCATTGTTTAGAGAATGCGTAATCTATTAAATAACAACAAGTTGTTTGGGTAAGGTTGTTTTTTTTTCAAACTGACACCGATAAGTTTACGCTATAACTTTTTACGAGAAAATCCAAAAGCAAGAGATCAATAACCTCGGGACTAGATATTAATGTATTTAATTGGTCGGATGTACTATAGTTCTTAGGTAGGTTCTTACGTAGGGTAGGTACTGGTTCTTTTCCTTAGAACCGTTGGTAGCTGCTAGAATCATTTTTACGTAGGTACCAACACATCACTGCAGTTTACAAATTAGTTATCGTTGGTGTTGCACCTTATTTATTAGAGCCGTCCGTATTCAATTTAAGTGATGTCTTAACTCTGTATAAGTTTTGCTTTTTCTGTCTGGATTCCAAATCTTAGCTTACCCGGTATGCTAAGAAAATGATAACCTATTTGAGTAAAACATTTGTTGGGCAAACCATCATGAATTGTTTACGCCTTTATATTGTTTTGTATCAATAGTTCGTGGCCTTTTTTGGATTGTTGTGTGTATGTCTGTTGGTAACGCATTAATGTCCTTATTTCTCAGTTTCTCACGGAATGGACAAGAGCACCTTTGATACTGAAAATGTCAACCGGAATAAAGTGTTAAATGGTGAAGTTGAGGTAGTACTTTAAATACGTTTAAGTTAACCGATGTGGAAAGTAACTTTCAATTATAGGCCTACTTTAGGGCTACGCTTCATGGATCTATAAAACATTTTTTAGTTTAATCATTGGACATATGGACCATAACGATCCGGGTGACATTTAATTACGAAGCATTTATTTTGGCTTGAACTGTCAGATACTGTATTTGCGAAGGTTTATATATAATAGTTTTGCCAGCATATCTGCAAATATGCAAACTAACTGCTGTTCTTAATCTTAATATAAGAAGGTTTCAACTGACTACTATAAGATCCCCGTGCGTAGAACGGGCACATAGCTAGTATTATAAATGAGAAAGTTTGGATATATGGATGGATGTATGGATGTATGTTTGTGACAAGTGAACGCGAAAAATACTGGTCGGATTGGGCTGAAATTTGGCATGATGATAGCTCACATTCCCGATTAACATATAGGCATATTCTTATTTCAAAAATCCTTTCGGGCTCCGCCCCAGTGGCTCTGGAGTTTCCCATGTTAACCTTATGAGAAATGGAATTATTGAATCTTAACAGCTGTTTCAATTAAACAAGTTGGTTCTGTTCTATGATGTTCAATAGCATTAAAGTTACAAGGATTACCAACAGGGTGCAGCCCTATTATTTCTTTTACATTCATGACAACAGCTAATTTGCAACTAAAAGGTGAGTGAGCGTAGCGAACGAACTTCAACCTGGAGGCGGGTTAGCGTAGCGAACGAGCTAACCTGAAGGCAAGTGAGCGCAGCGAACGAGCTCCAACCTAAAGGTGAGTGAGCGTAGCGAACAAACTTCAACCAGGACGTGATTGAGCCATGCGAACGAGATAATCTTAAAAATTAAGAAGTTAAACGGGGCAAAGCCCGCGGGTTACAGCTAGTTTGTTTATAAAGAATGGTTAAACATACAAAATTGAAACTTTGCACAAACATTTATGACAGCTAGAGAAAGGTAAACAGATTATGAAATTTTTTTTAAATAAAAAAATGGAGGTAATTTAAAAATTTTATTTAAAAAATAACGCAAAACCGTTAATTTTACAAAAATGTTACAAGAATAACTTTGGAAATTCCATTAAAAATCTATTGACACCTTACTTTTTAAGATTGGATGAATATTAACTGAGATATGGCGCAGCTTTAGTGATACGTGACCGCTGGAAGTTAGTTGCAGCTCATATTGAAAGCGGTAACTTTATCAATAAAGCTGCCATATCTCAGGTAATCTCAGTCCAATATAAAAAAAGGTGCCAATAGATTTTTAATGAAACTAGCTCTTTCTAGTGGGGCCTTGTACCAACGGGCTTCAGCCAGTTTGACTTCATAAGTATCAATAAAACTATTTGATTGGTTAATTAAGATAAGCTGAAATAAACAAAACAGAATACAGTACTACAAACAAATTAATCAAATCACACCTGAATTTAATAAGGTAATGTAATAAATTGAAAAAATAACAAACAAATAAGTACAGCTGAGGTATTTTAAACATTAGGTTCATGGAAAGTTCCCTTTAGAAAGGAATTACGACCTTAAAGGGCAATTTATGAAGTAATGGATAGTTTTGCGCAAGGTTTCTCGCCATGACCACACCAAAATGTATAGCCTAATGTAAAATGTTCTTGAATCGTAGTTAAGGTTAGGCATGGTGTACAGTTTGATATATTTAAAGTATTGTTTATGCTCATTTTAAGTATATGGTTTATGGGGTGTGACTTTTAGTTTTCTCAAAATTTCATGGGTAGGGAACTAACTACTTTGGGATTTATGTATGGATTGCCTTAAAAAGTTACTCTAGTAAAATATTTGTGAAATCAACGGGTTTTAAGTTATTTAAGAAACAACATTTTAAATAGCCACCATTTTGTTTTATGAATTTGAAAAATTGTCATAACGTTTTGGTAGCTTTACATAGTTTTGTCATAAATCTTTGTGCACGAGTTTCCATTTCTTTATAACCATTCTTTATAAAAAAATTAATAGGCGAAAAAATGGTGGCTGTGTGTTTAATTGATTTATAATTAATTGATAATTGATAGTAATACTTCCCCAGACAGCACGTGAGCTTGGACTAAACTTGGTTTTTACATATTTCTGAATTGGTATGACAAACTTGGAGTTTGGAACCCACTACAAATTTAAAACAGCTTTGGTTAAGTGAGCTTGTGTGAATGAGCCAAAACTAAACTTGTGTGTCTAAGGAACATGTCGGCCTTAGTCACTAACAAGACTACAAGATCGCGCCACTCATCCTACACTCATCCTTCACTCATATTTGGGTTAAAATACGCACATAGTGGCGTCCCCATCTTAAAAATAATTGATAATTGATAATAATTCATATATTCCTGAAAATTAAATACGGTATTTAGATATGTCTCTTACTCAGGAACAATGCTCTACAATTTTGGTAGAAAAAGTACCGGGACACTCTGTCTAAATTACTATGTTGTCACATTTCAGAGCCATTGTGTTACCGGTTGGAAATCACTCAATGCTGATTGCAGGGATGGCTCCAGGAATATGTTTTGGGTAGGCCTGACAAGAATCAAGAAAGAGTTTGATCGGGGACGAAAGGTTTGAAGATCTTTGTCCGCAAAAAGGGGGGAATTTTAAAATTTAAATGCAAAATAATATGTTTGAATGCGATCTCTTTATTTACATGTAATTAGATTTCTTTATTTGCTTATGAATGCTGTGGTTATTAATAACTGAATAATTTAAATAAGAATTTAGCATATTGTCCATACATTTGTTATAGTATTTTATTAGCTCATTACTTTACTATTTCTATGGCATCTCATCTTGGGCAAAGAAATTTGCATTATTGTTTGCTATGCAACCTCTGCAACGACAGCCAACGCCTGGCCGATTTCGTTGAAATTGAAGATGTAATGCCGGCAAACCGAGCTGGTAGAAGAAAAAACTAAACGAAAACGAAGTGGAGTCAGTGGAGTGGAGTGGACTGAGTGGACTGGAAGCTGCGATGTGGAGTTGATGTGTGAGTGTGATGGCGTGCTGAGCCGAATGAATTATTCAATCAGTTCAATTATTGTGTAAGCAAGCATCAGTACATGAAGCTACGTCCAGCATTGGCGGCATCTTTTATGCTTTTGTATAATTAAGTTAATGTGACGTTGGGAATCTTAAACATTTTAATGCTTATTTTCGTAATTCCGTGTATTGTTTTGTTGTGCATGTATGGGATTGTCAGCAAGTGAATTGTCCAGGAAGTTTAGTTCTATTATTCATTGAAAACTTGGTGAGTTCCTTCATTTATGTGTAGACAAAAAATAACCTGTTAGGCTAATTGTTAGGTTGCCAGCCTCATTGATCTGAGGCAGTACAAAATACTTCAATTTTTTATTATTGAATACAACGAATACCGGTCCGGTACGCCGGCCATTTTGAATGTGCATTCTGCCTTCTTTCTCACCTTTTTTCCTTGGCCTAACTAAACTAAGTATAAAACCTTAGCTTAGATGATTTTATTAGGCCTCTGACCCTGATACTTATTGTTTTTTTTATTGTAAGATGAGTTAGGCATAAAGATTTTTCGACTTAAAATAGTGTATACAAGTTACATGGTAAACTGTAGGCTAAGTTAAATTATAATCTTTATTGTGATTGTTCCCTGCCACTGAGATAGGCCTAAAGCACGGGTCACACTAGGCTGTTCGCCAGCCGATGGTGATCAGCAGCTGGCACCAGCATCACCGGTTCACCAATCCAGGCTGAGTCAGCTCAGTGTCAGCTGCGAATTTTGTGGTCACATTAAGCTGACAGTCGCGGCTTCTTTCAATTCGCCGCTGATGCCAGCCTAGTGTGACCCGTGCTTTACTTACACTTGTTAGGGTAGGGTAATTTAGTTAATTTTGTGATAACTATCAAGGCTTAATCCCCTGGTACACATCTTAAAGGTTACCATGTCAGGTAACCATGATTTTGAAAGGAAAAGAATCAATGAATATTATTAACTGCTGTTTCAATTAGGCCTAAGTTAACCTCTACACCTCCGGGTCCGCCTCCTCATGTATGAAACTACAGAGGGCCCACGGACGATGAGTGTCACTTCCGGTGCTGCCCAAGGTTCCATACTCGGCCCAGACCTCTGGAATGTGCGTATGGTTACCATAATTACCATCCTCTTGACTGTTGACCATTTCTGGATAGGTCGCGTCAGTAATGATACAAATATCATAAAACTTACAAATAAAAAATACTTCAACATATAATTATTATTAATTAACTTGAGTGTCAGGCGCCATAAAAAATATTAAAAAACTAACTGGGCTTTGAAGTAATCCTCCAAGGAATGAAAGCTTTGTTGGCAACACCACGACTTTAACTTCTTTTTGAACAGTTTCGGCTCCAGGTTCTTAATGTTCTCAGGCAGTCTATTAAACATTTTACAAGCCAGTAGTGGGAAACTGTCCTTCACTTTAGAAGTGCGGCATCTGGGAATGGAGATCAGGTTGTTGTTCCTCAGATTGTGACCGTGAAGCTGCCCTCTTATTTGAAAATCAGCTATAAATTCTCTTTTATGTAGAGGAGGGAGCTCAACACGAAGTTCCCATAGACTGTCAGGATGCCAAGCTCTTGAAATAAAGGTTTGCAGTGTTATGATATGACAGCCTCCTGAGGTCTGAAATGCCTGAGGAAACTGTTTTGGTTGGGTACGCAGACGACGTTGCAGTTTTGATAGCTGCACGTAGTGTAGAGCTGGCTCAGCTAAAGCTGAACCGAGTTATGCGCACCATAAACGCATGGATGACAGACCACGGTCTCTCGCTTGCTTTGAGCAAAACTGAGATGGTGATATTAACAAAAAAACGGATTGACACCATCGTGCCGTTGAGGGTAGGGGCCGTCGAATTCAGACGGTTCGTTCTGCCAAGTACCTTTTATGGTGGTCAGCAAGCTTAGCTGGCGGGATCCGATTTTCCGTACGGCGGACAAGGCCGCTAGGGTGGTCTCCACTCTTAGCCGGTTGATGGCCAATGCCATGGTCCTCGGTCCAGCCGTAGAAGGCTGTTAATGTCTTCTGCCCAGTCCGTACTCTTGTACGGTGCTGAGGTGTGGGCAGACGCTCTCAATAAGGAGTTATATAGGATGCTGCTCGCCCGAGTGCAGCGTCAGGCAGCACTAAGAGTTGCATCCGCCTACCGAACAGTGTCCGAACCCGCTGTCCTGGTGGTTGCTGGAGTCATCCCCGTCAAACTTTTGGCGGCGGAGAGAAAGGCAATTAATCAGCGCCGTGGGGAGGACCAGGCACGAACAGAGGAACGCACCCACACCTACTAGCTGTGGCAGGAGAGCTGGAAACAGGAGACTCGGGGATGCTGGACCAGCCCGACTAATACAGCAAGTCCAACCTTGGGTTAATCGGCGGTGCGGAGAGGTGGACTTTTACCTCACCCAATTTCTGACGGGTCACGGCTTTTTCCGGTCGTAGGCCTACCTGTTCAGGATGGGCAAAGCCGTGTCACCCGATTGCATATACTGCCCAGGCATTCCCGATGACGTGGAACATAAGTACCTTTTTCCACTGCCAGCGCTGGGAAAGGCCCCGCCTGGAGGGTCAACAGTTAGTAGGACTGCTGTCAGTGGACAATGTCATACCGATGATGACGGAGGGTGAGGACAATTGGACCTGTGTGTGACATTACATCCAGGGTATTCTTCGTGCCAAGAAGCTCGACCTTGACCGTGATGCGGTAGCGGTGTAGGTCATAAAGTATCTAAATGCCAAAAACGGCGAGAGCCCTGAGGGCTTAGGTCACATGTTGGCCTGACTTGAAGTAATGTGACAAACAATTCCAGGTCTGTGTCCAACAGAGTAGAGGGGGTTTTTTAGTGAGTAGTCTGTGATAGATTCAGGAGTCTCACACTACAGGCTGGCTACCTGTGTGCGTAAAAGCATTTTCCCTCCTCCCCCTTAAAAAAAAAATAAAAAATAAAAAGTTGACCTTTACACCGCCAGCGTTAAATCATTCCTATAATCGAGAACCGCCGTGGCCATTTTGTACTTAAAACGCTATGCTTACTGGTACCTATATTTAAAATGGCTTAGTTATAGCCTAACTTTTATTTTTGCAAATATTTTGATAAACGCAGAGGATACACGTCCGGCAGTTACTGTCATAACCTAACCTAACCAACCAAACTTGCTGAATGAAAAAAATCGAATGAAGGTTAAGTTCTGTTCATAAAAGAAATTCTTTGCTCTGTTCAAGTAGGCTAGGATTCGGAGAGTAGCCTACTAATTAAATCCACACAACTTACTTCCCAGAATCCCGCCTTGTTCTTTCCTCAATTTCAGTTCAATGGGACCTTTTAACTTATCCGGTCCAGGATTACTGCCAGCACTTTGCTTGGGACTGACAAAAGGGTAAAGGTAAACTGCCCAAATACCGTGACCTTTAACCCTCCAACTGCTAGTTATGCCCTTGGTGCTAAGCATTTTTTAGGCAATTAGCGGCAATAATAAAAAAATTTATAGAAACTGTAAAAATCAAACAAACCATAACAATATATATATTTTCTTGTTCAGCATAAAATTACCTACAAAAACATACCATATTGTTGCATGGTTATGTTTTCATAAAAATATTTATAGGTAGGCCTACAGATGTAAATAAACAAAATATATAGTAAATAATGGTGTAAATTACCTGCATCTTTGTGATCAATGTGTTGCTAAAATGCAACCGGTTTCGACTCACAAAGAAGTCATCATCGGGCCAGTACAGATGTCTTCTTGCTTCATTTGAAGGTCGTCAATTTGTAATAAATAAATACATTTAACACGCACACGTACACGAACATAGAAACGAACATTTAAGGTTAAAAACGAAAGATAATACTATAGCGGTAACGGGACACGACGTGATCGGGCGGGGGTTATGTCTAGACTAGACATAACCCCCGCCCGATCACGTTGTGTTCCGTTACCGCTATAGTATTATCTTTTGTTTTTAACCTTAAATGTTCGTTTCTATGTTCGTGTACGTGTGCGTGTTAAATGTATTTATTTATTACAAATTGACGACCTTCAAATGAAGCAAGAAGACATCTGTACTGGCCCGACGATGACTCCTTTGTGAGTCGAAACCGGTTGCATTTTAGCAACACATTGATCACATAGATGCAGGTATTTACACCATTATTTAGTATTTAAATGTGATCAGGAGGCTAAAACTCAATATAATGAAAATATATAGGCCTATATATATTTTTTTCAATTTGTAACTTTGCACTTCATCAAAATAAAATTATTTTGCTCTACCGATACTAAAAATTCAAAATAGGTACTGTAGCCAATTTTGTAGCAAATGTATTAGGGAACAAGAAAATATAGGCCATACTTTTATGCATATAAAATAAAATACCATAACTCATTTATGGACCGAAACACTTTCGGTTGATTTTTTACATTGCCGTATTCCTCGGTCATAAATTATACACAAGACATATAAGACCCTAGAAAACCATTACTAATGATTATGTAGGTATATAGTCCAGGCGCTAAACGGGTTGAGTATGCACTGAAAGTCTGACAAAATTTGACTTTTGATTATTGTTGGGGACATCTAGTAGATGAAAAAAATCGATGATGTCGCATTTCTAGGGTGGTCACAACTCGGGGGGGAGGGGGGGAAGTTGCGCGGGTCATCGGTTTACGTTTCCGCGTCTAACTCACAAACGGTTAATGATAGAAAGGTGAATTAAGCGTCTATCTACGCCTAAATATATTGTCTTTTAAAAAGGTTATTAAAACCTTTCTTCTATCTCTCATACTTTAGGCGCTAATCAACATTTATTGCAAAAAAAAAAATTTAAAAATACTTTAAAATGAAATCTCGGAAATATTGCGCTGGTTTAGGGCATGTTACAAACTATTTATAATTAGAAAAACTAAGAAGTAGTACAACAGCACCAAGTGTAAAGAAATATGTGCAAAAACAACAGAGCTACGTTGATTTCAGTAAGAGTAAACGTGGAAAATTCGTAGTAGTATTGAGGCGCGCATGGATGGTACGCCCACAGTCAATATCGGTTTGATGTTGTAAGTAACTATGGGAAAGCTGAATTTTTCTATGTTGTTAGACCATGTTGAGATGATCATTTTCCTGAAAGTCAACACTCCTCCCCCCTTGTGCTTTCCTTTAACCCCCCTTTTTAGATAAATTTACAGCCTCTTAGCAATTAAGCTATAACTTTAAAACTGGTAAGGATAATAATGCAATATTTTATTATTCA